AAAAAAAAAAAAAAAAACCACACACACGCACACACAACTAAGGGGAAGTCAGGAGCAGTAGCTTATATCTGTAATCCTAACACCTTCCGAGGCAGGAGGATCACTTGAGCTCAGGAGCTCAAGACCATCCTGGCCAAAGTGGTAAAAATCTGTCTTTACTAGCTAATAGAAAAATTATCTGGATGTGGTGGCACATTCCTATAGTCCCAGGCTAAGGCATGAGAATCGCTTGAACCCAGGAGGCGGAGGCTGTAGTGAGTGGAGATTGCGCCACTGCACTCCAGCCTGGGCGACAGAGCAGGGCTGTCCCTCAAAAAAAGAAAACACTAAGGGAAGCCATCCTGAGATATCTGAGAAACTCTGATGTTCAGATCTGGGATGTTCTCCCTATTGGAAAAGCATGAATACAATCAATTTCCTTGCTGGCTGATATTTTGTTTTTCTTTCTTGCTGTTGACAACACATAGCAGCTGAAAAAAAAAAACTAGGCTTCCAATACAGATCTGTGACCACCCCCCCGCCCCCACCCACTGTCCTCCCCTCACTGCCACGCCTGTCCACTCATCACTAACGAATGAGGCCAGGACACTGACTGAGTACAGACAGTGGTAAATCCAGAAATCCAGTTTGGTGTAAAGAGGTAGGGATTATCACCATTTTACAGAAAGGGACTCAAAGTAGGTGACAAGGACCCACTACCATCCTACCGCCCAGCCCTAGCCCTCCTCCCCTCACCCTTTGCTCCATGTCAGGCTGGCGTCTGGCTGGGGACAGTGTCCTCCCCAGGGTGAGGAGCCGGGGGGAGGTCGGGCGAGGGAGGGGCCGTCCACATTCCTGGTTTCTTCGCATCCGCTCCAGCTGCTCCTGGGCACTCATCCGGGGCCGGGCCACCGGGGCCTAAGGAGATGAGAAATGTCCCAAGACCCCACCCTTAGGCCAGGCGAGGTGGCTCATGTAATCCCAGCACTTTGGGAGGCTGAGACAGGAGGATCACTTGAGGTCAGGAGTTTGAGACCAGCCTGGCTAACTTGGTGAAATACCATCTCTACTAAAAATACAAAATTTAGCTGGGTGTAGTGGCAGGCACCTGTAATCCCAACTACTCAGGAGGCTGAGGCAGGAGAATGGCTGGAACCAGGGAGGTGGAGGTTGCAGTGAGCCAAGATCACGCCACGGCACTCCAGCCTGGGTGACAGAGCAAAACTCTGTCTCAAAAAAAAAAAAAAAAAAAAAAAATTGTTGCTTAAGCAGGGAGAGAGAGAGAAGGCCAGGTTCAGGGGTGGGTGACTGTAATCCCAGAACTTTGGGAGGCTGAGGTGGAACAATCACTTGTGGCCAAGGGTTTGAGACCAGCCTGGGCAACATAGCAAGACCCCATCTCTACAAAAAAAAAACATGTTAGATGTGGTGATACACTCCTGTCACCTACTCAAGAGGCTGAGGCAGGGGGATCGCTTAAGCCCAGGAGTTCAAGGCTTCAGTGAGCTATGATTGTGCCACTGCACTCCATTCTGATGACAGAGCAAGACCCTGTATCTAAAGAAAAAAAAAGACCGGATGCTGTGGCTCATGCCTGTAATCCCAGCACTTTGGGAGGCCAAGGTGGGCGGATCATGAGGTCGGGAGATCAAGACCATCCTGGCCAACATGGTGAAACCCCATCTCTACTTTTTTTTTTCTCCCCTACCCCCACATCTCTATTAAAAATACAAAAATAAGCTGGGCCTGGTGGCATGTGCCTGTAGTCCCAGCTACTCAGGAGTCTGAAGCAGGAGAATCGCCTTGAACCCAGGAGATAGAGGTTGCAGTGAGCTGAGATTGGGCCACTGCACTCCAGCCTGGGCAACAGAGCGAGACTCCATCTCAAAAAAAAAAAAAAGAAGAAGAAGAAGAAGGGAGAGAGAAAGAGAACACTCATTGCTGGAGTTTCCAGTTAAACATTCCAGTGAGAGAGCTTGGATCTGTGCTTACTGCAATACCGGCCCCAGCAATTTCCTCTGCTTTGACCAATCCTGAGTCCTGTGTTACATAAATGATGGCCACTGGCTACTGTACATTACCCTATGTTGTTAATTTCTTTTTTTTTTTCTTGAGACTGAGTCTTGCTTTGTCACCCAGGCTGGATGTGATGGCACAATCTCGGCCCACTGTGACCTCCACCTCCCAGGTTCAAGCAATTCTCTGCCTCAGCCTCCTGAGTCGCTGGGATTATAGGTGCCTGCTACCACACTGGTGAATTTTTTTGTATTTTTAGTAGAGATGGGGATTCACCATCTTGGCCAGGCTGGTCTTGAACTCCTGACTTCATGATCCACCAGCCTCAGCCTCCCAAAGTGCTGGGATTACAGGTGCAAGCCACCGCACCTGGCCACTGCTGTTAATTTCTTCATAGCAGATCAGACCGTTGGCCTAAAGGCTTGCTAGCAACAAACTCAGACTCCTACACATCCAATTGTTTTAAACATAGTCTTAATAAGCAGATATTTTTAGCCAAGCAGTCTGCCTGCTTTGTATACCCTGAGACTCTGCCCAATATCTGCTAGCCATAGATAAGTAAGACAAGCCCCTTGGCCAGGCACGGTGGCTCACGCCCATAATCTCAGCACTTTGGGAGGCTGAGGCGGTGGATCACGAGGTCAAGAGATCGAGAGCATCCTGACCAACATAGTGAAACCGTCTCTACTAAAAATACAAAAATTAGCTGGGCATGGTGGTGCACTCCTATAGTCCCAGCTACTCGGGAGGCTGAGGCAGGAGAATCTCTTGAACCCAGGAGGTGGAGGTTGCAGTGAGCCAAGATTGGGCCACTGCACTCCAGCCTGGTGACAAGGTGACTCCGTCTTCTACAAAAAAAAAAAAAAAAAAAAGATAAGCCCCTTCTCCAGTCCCTCTCTCGGGAGCTCCCTTTCCCTCCCTTCCCTCCTGTGCAGCGGTCCTCACCCTCACACAGTAGCCTCTGGAGGGTCTCACACTGGGTGTGACGTCCCCCATAGACAAATCTGTCAGTGTCCACCAAATAAAGCTCCTGTGTGCTACTGCCATCTGGTGGTCATAGGTTTTTCTTTGCTCAGCCCTGAAACTTCTGGAACTCACTAGACCACCTGTGTGCTCTGGACCTTGGCAGCCCCTGAAACCATGGGGTTGGACTGAGGGAGGAGCATGTCCCAAGATAAGTGATGTTTCCAGGAGGCTCCCATCATCCAGCCCATGACTCGTACCACTGAGAATCAAAACTCGCCTCTCCTCTCTTCCTAGGAAAGGCTTGATTGCTTTTGTATCCATGATGACAAGTAAGCACCAGAAATACATTTTTTTTTTTGAGATACGTTTTCCCTCTGTTCCGCAGGCTGGAGGTGCAGTGGTGCCATCATGGCTCACTGCAGCCTTGACCTTCTGGACTCAAGCAATCCTCACATGTCAACCTCCCAAGTAGCACCACCACGTACAGCTAACTTTTTTTTATTTTTTGAGAAAGAGTCTTGCTCTGTCGCCCAGCCTGGAGTGCAATGGCATGGTCTCGGCTCACTGCAACCTCTGGCACCCAGGTTCAAGTGATTCTCCTGTCTCAGCTTCCCAAGTAGCTGGGATTACAGGTGCGTGCCACCACACCTAGCTAACTTTTGTATTTTTAGTAGAGGCAGGGTTTTGCCATGTCAGCCAGGCTGATCTTGAACTCCTGACCTCAGGTGATCCACCTGCCTCGGCCTCCCAAAGTGTGGGGGTTACAGGCGTGAGGCACTGTGCCCGGCCACAGCTAACTTTTTATTATTTTTTTTATAGAGATGGGTCTTGCTATGTTAGCCAAGCTGCTCTTGAACACCTGGGCTCAACTGATCCACCCACCTTGGCCTCCCAAATTGTTGGGATTACAGGCACAAACCAACACCACCGGCCGAGAAATGCTTTTATTTACGTATTTTATTATCATTATTATTTTGTGAGACAGTCTCGCTCTGTTGCCCAGGCTGGAGTGCAGTGGTGCAATCTTGGCTCACTGCCACCTCTGCCTCCTGGGTTCAAGTGATTCTCCTGCCTCAGCCCCTCCAAGTAGCTGGGATTACAGGCACCCGCCATCACACCTGGCTAATTTTTGTATTTTTGTAATGACAGGGTTTCACCATGTTGGCTAGGCTGGTCTCAAACTCCTGACCTCAGCTGATCTGCCTGCTTCAGCCTCCCAGAGTGCTGGGATTACAGGAGTGATCCACCATTCCCAGCCCCAAGAAATGCTTTAAAATCTGTTTTATTAAGTAATCCCAACAGGTACCCCAAAGGCTTTTGAAAGCCAGCCAATCAGTGATGGATCTGAGATTCTGAAAATCTGCCAATCAGTGACAGTCACATGCTTCTGAAGGCTGGCCAATCAGTGATGGATCTGTCCTTCTGAAAATCAGCCAATCAGTGATAAGTTCATGCTTCTGAAAACCAGCCAATCAGCAGCAGACACAGAACTTCCACAGCTTAATATTAACCAATTCCTAAACATTCTCGCTACTGGAAGTCCACCAATTTCTGAACTTCAGGGACACATGAGATCAGCTCTCTGCCCCACTCAGGGAGTATGTCTTTTTGTTGTCGTTGTTCTTGTTGTTGTTTTGAGATGAAGTTTTGCTCTTGTTGCACAGGCTGGAGTGCAATGGCGTGATCTTGGCTCACCGCAACCTCCACCTTCTGAGTTCAAGTGATTCTCCTACCTCAGCCTCCCAAGTACCTGGGATTAACAGGCATGCGCCACCACACCCGGCTAATTTTTGTATTTTTAGTAGAGATGGGGTTTCACCATGTTGGCCAGGATGATCTTGAACTCCTGACCTCAGGTGATCTACCTGCCTTGGCCTCTCAAAGTGCTGGGATTACAGGTGTGAGCCACTGCACCTGGCCTTTGTTTTGAGACAGAGTCTCGCTTTGTTGCCTAGGCTGGAGTGCGGTGATCACACCACTCCAGTGGTATGATCCAGGCTCACTACAACCTCTGCCTCCCAGGTATAAGCAGTTCTCCTGCCCCAGCCTCCTGAGTAACTGGGATTACAGGCACATGCCACCACCCATGGCTAATTTTTGTATTTTTAGTAGAGATGTGGTTTCACCAAGTTGGCCAGGCTGGTCTCGAACTCCTGACTTCAGGTGAACATCTGTCTTGGCCTCCCAAAGTGCTGGGATTACAGGCATGAGCCACCGCACCTGGCCTCATACATCTAGTTTTCATCTTCATGTCAGCTCTAGATGGTAGCTTCTGCTATTAGCTCCATTTAACAGATGAAAAAATGGAGTCACAGAGAGGTTTAATAACTGACCCAAAGTCACACAGTTTAGAAGCAGCAGAGACAAAATTCAATCTCAGTGCTCTTAACAAACAGTTCCCCCTGTTCTGAGTGTGGCCTTAGAACCCTACTCCTAGCTGTTTCCCCAGAAGTGTTGGGGTCCCTGATGGTCAGATACAAGCATTACAGGATGGATCTACAGCCTACCTTGGTTCCCAGCTGTGGGGAAGGGAGGTGGTGACCCTCAGGGCTGGAAGCCCGGGAGACCCTTGGAGACCCAGTACCTAGGAATACAGAACGGGACTTGGTGAGGATGGGAATTTCCAGAAAGTCCCACCCGGCCAGAATGCTCACCTAAGCGAGGGCTGGAGAGGTCTTTGTCACCTCCAAGAGGCCGCCCCCAGTCAGTCTCGGGGGACCGAGGGGAGCTCAGTTCCAAGGACTCAGGCAGGCTCTTCGGGGATAAGAAAAAGGGAATAACAATGATGATGGTGATGATGATGATGATGATAATTATTATTATTTTGAGATAGAGTTTTGCTCTGTCGCCCAGGTTGTAGTGCAGTGGCGTAATCTTGTCTCACTGCAATCTCCACCTCCCGGATTCAAGCAATTCTCCTGCCTTAGCCTCCCTAATAGCAAGTATGTGCTACCACACCTGGCATTTTTTGTTTGTTTGTTTTTTTGAGAAGGAGTTTCACTCTTGTCACCCAGGCTGGAATGCAGTGACATGATCTCAGCTCACTGCAACCTCCGCCTCCCAGGTTGAAGCGATTCTCCTGCCTCAGCCTCCTGAGTAGCTGGGATTACAGGCACCTGCCACCACATCCAGATAATTTTTTGTGTTTTTAGTAGAGACAGGGTTTTACCATGTTGGACAGGCTGGTCTTGAACTCTTGACTCAGGTGATCCACCCGCCTCAGCCTCCCAAAGTGCTGGGATTACAGGCGTGAGCCACAGCGCCATCTATTATCATTACTATTATTAACATGTTTCAAGCATTTAGCAATTAGAATACAGTCTGAATAGGATTTTTTTTTTTTAAGACGGGGTTTCACCATGTTGGTCAGGCTGGTCTTGAACTCCCGACCTCAGGTCATCCGCCTGCCTTGGCCTCCAAAGTGCTTGGATTACAGGCGTAAGCCACCACTCCTGGCCCTGAATAGGATTAAGACTATAAACCAAATCTGAGCACAGAAGCTCATGCTTGTAATCTCAGAGCTTTGAGAGGCCAAGGTGGGAGGATCACTTGAGGCCAGGAGCTAGAGACCAGCTAGGCAACATAGTGAGACCCTTTCCCTACAAAAACTTTTTAGGCTGGGCACAGTGGGTTCACATCTATAATCCCAGCACTTTCGGAAGCCAAGGTGGGTGGATCACTTGAAACCAGGAGGTCAAGACCAGCCTGGGCAACACAGGGAGACCCCATCTCTACAAAACAAAGAATTAGCTGGGCGTGGTGTCAGACACCTGTAGTCCTAGCTACTTGGGAAGCTGAGGTGAGAGGATCACATAAGCCCAGGAGATCAAGGTTCCGGTGAGCCATGATCACACCACTGCACTCCAGCCTGGGCGACAGAATGAGATCTGTCTTTATTTTATTTTTTTTCTCTTTTATTTTTTTCTTGAGATCTGTCTTTTAAAAAAAATCCTGGTTGGGCGTGGTGGCTCACACCTGTAATCCCAGCACTTTGGGAGGCCAAGGCAGGTGGATGACTTGAGGTGGGAAGTACGCGACCAGCCTGGCCAACATGGTGAAACCCCATTTCTACTAAAAATACAAAAATTAGGCCAGGTGAGGGGGCTTACGCCTGTAATCCCAACTACTCGGGAGGCTGAGGCGGGAGAATCGCTTGAACCCAGGAGGTGGAGGTTGCAGCGAACCGAGATCGTGCCACAGCATTCCAGCCTCGGTGACAGAGTAAGACTCCATCTTCCAGAGGTTAGGACAGCTGCCCTAGGTGGGTTCGCTGATCAAGGAAGAATTAAAGAGGCCGAAGGGGACTAGACTGAGCCAAGGACAGATGGGACAGGAAGCTGGGGGTGGGGAGAGAATTGTGTGCATCTTACCTCCCTCTCTGAGGACTCCTCGCCCTGGAGCACGGGAGATGGGGAGTCAGGCTCAGTGTGTGGGGGCGGTTTCTGGGGGCCACCCAGACCTGCCAGCGTGTCTTCCACCATCCACAGCTGCTGCTGAGCAGACACTCTGTCCTGTGGGGAGGAAAGGAATTTGTCACTTAAAGACGGGAAAATGCGGGAGAGTTTCAGCCAATAGGCCCCTGCAAAGGTCTGCAGTCAGCTGGGCTATATTGATGGAGTTGGGATTTTTTTTTTTTTTCACGTGGTTATCCAATTTAATTGAAAAAACTGTCTTTTGGCCGGGCGCGGCGGCTCACACCTGTAATCCCAACACTTTAGGAGGCCCAGGTGGGTGGATCACCTGACGTCAGGAGTGCAAGACCAGCCTAGCCAACACGGTGAAACCCCATGTCTATTAAAAATACAAAAAAAAATTACTCAGGTGTGGTAGTGCATGCCTGTGATCCCAGCTACTCAGGAGGCTGAGGTGAGAGAATCACCTGAACCTGGGAGGTGGAGGTTACAGTGAGGCGAGATGGCACCACTGCACTCCAGCCTGGGTGACAGAGCAAGATTCTGTCTCAAAACAAAAACAAAAACAAAAACAAACAAACAAACCTAAAGGGTGTGGTCTTAACTAAAATAACGGGCTTAGATTGAAAAGACAGAAAGGAAGCCAAGCGCGAACTGGACGGGGCCTCTGTTCTGTAGGCGGAGCCTAGACTCTATGGGCGGAGATTAAATGCCCAAAGGATTTCCAGGCAGAAGCTGGAGTTGGGGTGGGTCTTGGGGTCTCCAAGCAGGGATTTACCTGGGGAGAACCGAGGTGCAGCAGATACTCCAGGGTCTCTCTTAAGGTGCCCAGCTCCTGCTCCAGGCCACTGTACGTGTCCCAAACCCTCTCTCGCTCCTCAGGTTGCATAAAGGGGGAGACACAGGTTAGCTCCCTCTCTCACCAAATCTTTGCCCATCCCATCGTTTGTCAGCTAAGGAGGAGGTAAGGGAGCTTGGTCCCTGGGGCCCTGTGAGCATATGGGCTACAATTCCCATGAGCCTCTCTGCTTGGACTATAATTATCTCTAAAATGGAGACAATAATAGTAACTACCAAATAGAAATTAAATGAGAGCTGAGAACAGTGCCTAGCACATGATCAGGGAACTCCAGAGACTGTATAGAATCTGCAGTGCCAATGCACTGCTAGTGTAGACAAACAACAGCATTCCCTGAATCCCCTGGATTACTTCTGCATTCTCACAGGTAGCACAGTCTACAGATCTAATGAATTCATTAGACAGTCAAAAGACCACAGCACCTGACCCGGTATGGTGGCTCACGCCTGTAATCCAGCACTTTGGGAAGCCAAGGTGGGTGGATCACTTGAGGTCAGGAGTTCGAGACCAGCCTGGCCAACATGATGAAACCCATCTCTACTAAAAATACGAAAATTAGCCAGGGGTGGTTACAAGGCGGGCATCTGTAATCCCAGGTACTCGGGAGGCTGAGGCAGGAGAATCACTTGAACCCAGGAGGTGGAGGTTGCAGTGAGCCAGGATCCAGCCGCTGCACTCCAGCTTGAGTAAAAGAGCAAGACTCTGTCAAAAAAATGACCACAGCACCCACTCACCCTGGGGCAGCAGAAACTTCCTCGCCAATAACAATAATAACAGCGGCTAACGCTTATTGGACACTGACTACGTGCTAGGCAATGTTCTCAGCTCTACAGATAATAATTATAGCTGACACTTAAGTATTGCTTACCAAGTACCAGATACCTTAAGTGTTTTTTGTTTTTATTTATTTTATTTTACTTTTTTAGAGTTGGGGTCTTGCTATGTTGCCCAGGCTGGAGTGCAATGGCTATTCACAAGCGCAGTCTCACTACTGATCAGCACAGGAGTTTTAACCTGCTCAGTTTCCGACCTGGGCCAGTTCACCCCTCCTTAGGCAACCTGGTGGTCCCCTGCTCCCGTGAGGTCACCATATTGATGCTGAACTTAGTGAGGACACCCGACAGGCACAGCGCGCTACAGCCCAGAACTCCTGGGCTCAAGCGATCCTCCCACCTCAGCCTTCCAAGTAGCTGGGACTACAGACACATGCCACCAAGCCTGGCTGTTTTTATTTTTTTTGAGACTGAGTTTGCTCTGTCACCCAGGCTGGAGTGTCATTGGCGCAATCTCAGCTCACTGCAACCTCTGCCTCCCAGGTTCAAGCAATTTGCCTGCCTCAACCTCCCAAGTAGCTGGGATTACAGGCGTGCACCACCGCACCCGGCTAATTTTTGTATTTTCAGTAGAAACTGGGTTTCACCATGTTGGCCAGGCTGGTCTTGAACTCCTGACCTCAGGTGATCCACCTGCCTTGGCCTCCCAAAGTGCTAGGATTACAGACATGAGCCACCACACCGGGCCCCTAAAGTGTTAAATATTCATTCATCCATTCATTTACACATATCACATAATAATTCTCACAGTTACATAAGGCCAGGTGCAGTGGCTCTTGCCTGTAGTTCCAGCACTCTGGAAGGCTGAGGCAGGCAGATCAACTGAGGTCAGGAGTTCGAGACCAGCCTGGCCAAGATGGCAAAACCCCATCTCCACTAAAAATACAAAAATTAGCCAGTGTGGTGGTGCATGCCTGTAATCCCAGTTACTTGAGAGGCTGAAGCTGGAGAATTGCTTTAACCTGGGAGGCGGAGGTTGCAGTGAGCCAAGATC